GTCAACGGGGAGCAGATGACAGACGAAGCCGGGCTGTGCAGGACAAAGCCCACAGCTGGAGAGCGCTGGAGCAGGAGGAAGGACGGGCGGATCTGCAGGGCGAAAAGCTGAGGCCCCTTAACTCTGGTTTCAGCGGGGCTCTTTCACACACCACTGTGCAACCGTGCACTGTGCAACTCTTCTCACACACCACTGTGTAACCGTGCACCATGCAACACTTCTCACACACCACTGTGTAACCGTGCACTGTGTAACTCTCTTCTCACACACCACTGTGACACTGCTGTGGCACAGCTGATGCGCTTAGGATCTTGTTATCCACCAGTACAAAGGACGTACAAAAATAATTGCTTCTTGGACTGGGGTCTTTGCAATTTGTGTTATCTAAGTAGCATCATATGTCCAGCAAAGTTTTTTTTTTTTCCCTAAATGCACAGTTGGTACTGTATAGCCAAAAAATTTGGCTCTTGTAAAACTGTGTTTAATCTGTTTGTTGTTCTGCCTAAGGTGCCAATAATTATAGGGGAGACTTTGTAAGATCTTTTCCACAATCTACTACTACTACTACTACTACTACTACTACTACTTATTATAATTATAATTATTATACACACATCAACGTGAAATCACAGCTGCCAATTCTCTAGCTGGTGTTGGTCTTCATTCACATTGAGTTCTTCCCAAAAACCTAGGACAATGTTTCTCAACTGTGGCAATTTTAAGATGAGTGGACTTCAACACCCAGAATTCCCCAGCCAGCATGGCTGGCTGGGGAATTCTGGGAGTTGAGGTCCACTCATCTTAAAGTTGCTAAGGTTGACAAACACTGACCTAGGATGTATGTGTGGATCCAAGCAGGATGGCCTTTTGTAATTGACCAATGGAAATTTTGTTAAATGTGCAGATTTTCTAAGTGTCGTCCAAGGCTTTTTGGTATGGCACCCAGTGTGATGGTGATGGTGATGGTGATGGTGATGGTGATGATAGACAAGTGCATCATCAAGAGGGCTTCTCCTTTTGTGAGTTGCATCAGCTTTTCTTCTAGCTAAGAAGCAGTTTCCCTCTGAACTCTGAATCTGGGCAGCCTCCAGGAACATGAATGGTTGGACCTCATCAAGCAGGAGTAGATCATCATTCTGTGCATTTTTGTGGAGGAGGAGGGGAGGACACAGTGGTCTTGGAAGTTGTGGTTGTTTCCTTGGACTTTGGAAGGTTTTAGCTAATAAAGATTGAGCTGATCGCGAATTTTATTAGTTAAAGGAAATTTCCTGAGCCAGAGGAGCAGAGATTGGGGACAAATCAGTATGTCCCTTTGTCCCTGACTTTTGAATATGTGGGTGATTCCAGGTGGAGCATAACGCATGATCTGCAGCAGGAGTGGGTCTGTGCAGAAATCGTTGCCATTGGGTCAGTGTGCGCGCTGTGCTTGTTCCTTGTAATTTGCGGGTCAGCAAGTTGTGCAAATCCAGCCGTCGGCTTAGCATCTTGTGTGAACTGAGCTGTCAGGTTAAACTATAACATAGTTTCTTTCTTTCAGGCATTGTGCGTGTTATAAACACAATCATTGTGTGTTGTTAACTGGAGTTAGGTGTGTTATCCAGATGTTTTCAGTGGGGATTAGACTAAGATAAGTGACTCTAAATTGCAGCTGAAATGGTGTTTAGGGTGATACCATGTTATCACTCATACTTTCCTTTAGCCCAGTGTTGTCCAAACTTGGCCACTTTAAGATGAGTGGACTTTAACTCCCAGAATTCCCCAGCCAGCAATCTTAAAGTCCACTCAT